TTGGAGAGATTTCACATACTTGGAGAGATTTGGGAGAGGTTTCACATACTTGGAGAGATTTGGGAGAGGTTTCACATACTTGGAGAGATTTCACATACTTGGAGAGATTTGGAAGAGGTGTAACCTTAGTCATTATTATCGTATAATCTCGTAATGCAAGGTTCGTGAACCCCGCTATGCTTCGTTTATGATTGTTTTAAGTCCCCGCAAGGGTCCTTAGTCGTGTTTTGATGCGTTTAACTCCCTTTTTAGGGTTTTTATATTGTTAACACATAGATTCTTCAAGACACTTGAATTCTTGACATACAAATGCTCATTTTTATACATAGAATAACTTTTAGCATACAAGTACTAATTAAGTTTGACCGGTTTGACTTGTTGACCTTGACTTGTTGACTTTGACTTGAATTTGAAGGTTGTCACATTATCCCCCCGTTAGAAATAATTTCGTCCCGAAATTTGCATTTGAGTGGGACTTCAAGGGTTGGGGAATAGATGTGGGTACTTTTGTTTCATTTGGTCTTCGCGTTCCCAGGTGAACTCGGGTCCTTGTTTTACGATCCAACAGACCTTCACAACAGGGATGCATCGTTGATTTCGTCGGGAGGTATCACAAGAGTCTCGTCGGACGTACATTTCTTTAAGTTTGACGCGTGGATGGTTGGATGTACATTATTAGGTTCTTGGGGCAGTCAGAGTTTGTATATTACCGGGCCAATCCTAGCGAGGATTTCGAATGGTCCGTTGTACCTTGGATTTAGTTTCCCATGTTTACCGAAACATATCATTCTTCTCAATGGTGAGGCCTTCTAGTAGAACTTGGTCACCAACCCGCAATTCCGAGGGTTTGCGTCGCTTATCTGTGTAGTTCCTTCGTCGGTTTCGAAATGCTTTCAGCCTTTCTCGAATTTATACTAAGTCATAAGTAATAACTTCCCCTCGGAGCGCAGCATAGGGCCTGCTTTAGTGTTTTCTCCTTTGATTAGATCGGTAGGGAGCATATGGGTTCGGTTTACGAGACTAGACTTATTCGGATGGTAGAACGTTCATTCGCACTCCTGGGTAGCTTTGTCCCGAAGTTCATGGTAGGACTTGTACCTCGTCCATCTATGCTGGGTAGCTTTGTCCCGAAGTTCATCCGACGTCTGTTTTCGTCTGTCTTTTTACTGTTGCGCTACTAATAATGAGATCTTCAATTCTCATTTAGGTTGCGTCGGCCAAAAACCGCTCGATCTAAAATTCGAATTTCGGGTTGTGCACTGTCATGCCAAATCTTAGAAAAATCATTACTTCCTCATACGAAGTCAGATTTGGGCGTCCTTATGATGTATGTTCTCGGTTTAACGTATACTACAACTTTCATTTAGATATCTAAGGCTAAAAAGTAGTTTATCAAAAAATCACTTTTTACGATTCTCGGTGCCGTGCCGGTTTTGCCGTAAAACTTCGACAGATCATAACTTCTTCGTTATAACTCGGATTTCGGCGTTCTTTATATGTACGGAACCCTTGTGACATATACTATAACTTGGTTAAGATCAATCCTTCTAAATAATCATCCATTAAAAACTCACTTTTAATGCTTATCGTCTCTAAATTGACTAGCCCGAAGCTGCGGGCGTTACAGTTTTTGCCCAACTAATCGGTGAGAGTACTTAAAATACTCTTGGAGTCTACAAATCTCCTCAGCACGCCTACTGGGAAAACGCCCATCGGAAAGATATGTTAAAACGGGGTCCAAAAAGGGAGGGATCGAAACTAACTACCCCAATTAGAGAAACGGGTTCGAAAAATTCCGAAATGGCCTCAGGCTTGCTGGGGAGACTTTTCCAACCCCACATATTAGAACTTATGCACTGATCATATAGTCAACAACATTTTACATATTCAAGAGAGTATATAGAGGGAAAATGAGCTTGTAATTTTGATGTCCCCACCCATATATCTTTGCATAATAGTATTTTAGAATTAGAACCTGGAACAAGAGAAAAAAAAAACTAGTGTTATGATTTATGTTGAGGACATTGAGGCTGTTCACGACTTTCGTTATGTTGATCCACACTCCTAGGGCGTTTTTTGCAATGTAATCAGTCGGTTTCTTCATAATATTTTGTATTGCATAAATTACCTCCTGCCACATTGAATTATTTTCAGATCTAAGTCTCCACCACCATTTTGTGATTAGAGCTGGAACCAACTCAAAAGCCCCCATTACTCTTTGGGGTAATAACTTTCGACCATGCAACCCAATGTATTTTAGACTTTTCATCCCCTCCGCCCCAAAGGAATTTACGCCTTATTCTTTTGAAAGTCTAAATAATCCATTGGGATATATGAATAAGGGGAGATAGTATATGGGAAGACTTCCAAGTCCGAGTTTAATCAAAGTTAGAAGACCCCCAAACATAAGGTTTTAAACTTCTAAACTTATAGTTTGGATTGAAACTTCTCAACTATATGCATCCAATGCTTATTCAAATACATGTTAGCTTTTCTCTTTAAAAAAAATACATGTTAGCTCTTACCGAAACTCCCAAATACTTAAAGGGAAATGAGCCATTGATACATCCAAGCAATCGTGCCCATATATCGTTTTCCAAGCTGGAAGTACAAATATCGAATAGCCTATATTTGTGAAAATTGTCTGTCAAGCTGAAAAACACTTGAAAGCATTTAAGAATGTGGGTAAGATTTCAAATGTTATCTTTATCCTACTCACCAAAAAATATTACATCATCGATATAGGTACCCAAAAACACAAAGATGTGTATAGGATGTATTTGGAAAAGGGGGAAATATAAGGTTTTGTTATGGATAGTGGTGGATGGAAGGATATTTAGAAAGTAAGTTGTCATAATAAGTGCTTCGACCCATAATCTGGGTGGAATGTGAGAGTGAAATAGAATAGTAAATCAACCACATGTTCTAACTTTTCGTTTTGTTAGGATGTATAGAAACACAAAAAATGGAATTGGATACCCTAAGGTGCAAAAAAAACACATAAAATGAAGCCTTGTCATTTTTGACCGGTTCCAACCGGTCAAAATGGTCAAAATGATAACTTTTATTGGTTTTTAGGATTTTTTCATAATAATAGTAATAATAATTTAGGACTAAACCGTAAATTTAACCAAAATTTTGAAACTTTATTGAAGATTTCTCTATAAAAAAAAAATATGAATTGTCTAACATTATAGTAAAACTAAACTCATCAAATTCTCATCAAATCCAATATATTATTTATTACGAGGCGTGAATTGTCTGCAGGGATGTGACATCCGTTACCATCATAAATAAAAAGAGAGACATGATTACTAGAAAAAGAACATTAGTATACTTGTATTTCCATGCACATGGTGATAGTTTGTGGCCTTGGGGTCCATAATCCAACCTTGGTCATTCAACGAAAACAAACTATAGTATCGAGGTGGGCCGGTCGTTTGAATTGGTCCTGTTGAGTAAGTAACAAACTCACATGAACCTTTTTAAATAGTCATTTAAAAATTCAAATTCCAATTTTAACAGAGTTTATATTTAAAAATGGTTCCAAACCAAGTTTTTCGTAAGTTTGAAAAGTTTGAGGTTATAACAATCAATACAAACAAAAGTTAAGTTTAAGTCCATACATAACCAAATGATTTTCTAAATGTCCATGCGCTTCAACTCTTATCCCTAACAGTAAGTGTATATCCTGTGTTTAAATCCCGTTGACATTTTTATTAAGATGTGTATGTTTGATTATAGACACTAGACACATGTCATTGTAATCTAGCCAGTAACCGATAACACCTAAAATAATATGTTATGTTACGTTCAATGTGCATCGAGCTTATATCAATGTGACAAAAAATAAGACATAACTCATGCCAATGAAACAAAAATTGCAAAATTTTTGTCTCATCCAAACACAGGATAATGACTTGCTCTCAATCTCGTGTCTATGCAAAAGTCATGAATTTCCTTATCCTTGTTAAAACAAGAAAAAAAAAAAATCAATCTCTCCAATCTTGTCGTTTGTAACAAAGGCATCTAAAATTTAAGACAACAATACATCTATAAAACAGTAATAACCCTAAGTACTTAGGATATGAGACTTATGAATGAAAAGAAAACTGCACGAAACTTGTCCTAAAAAGCACCAAATATTACGAGGGCAACAGCAGCTGAACATCTCAGACAAACCCCTTGTTTGGTGTGGTGCAACCTAACCATAAATGTATCCAATTATATGTTTTCTCCATATATATACAAAAAGCTAATCAAAATCATCCACCAACATCTTAAACCCATGATCAAAAACCTCAAACCTCAAACCGCAAGACTTTTAACCTCATCTTCCTTCCACAGCCCTTCTTCATACTTGTACCACCTCACAAGCCCTTCATCAAGCTTCATTCTGTGACACATGATACACGATTCATCATCCATGCATGTCAAGAACTGTCGCAACCTTGAAGCCTTCTTGAAAATCGAATCATCGAGCTCGGTCACCACTTTTCGAGTTGCAGGTGGTGGAGGGGCATCTATGATGAGAGAATGAGATATGTTGAGCACTTCAAGGTTCTTTAATCCGTTTAGGATCAATAAAAGGGCGTCCTTGTAGACAATGGAGACACGAAGGCTTAGCACTTTTAGGTTAGGGACACAACGGATGAGTGTCTGCACGCATAACATGTCACATGGCCCCATGATTTTGAGTTCTGAAAACTTCTTGCAGTGCTTTGAGATTTCTTCCATGAAATAAGGTGGATTCGCTATGCTTGGCATTGTGAGGGATTCTAGATTATTCCACTTGCTAATAGCCTTGCATATACCTGTCCTTTTTATACGGTTCCATGCAGGTAACACCAAGCGCTTCAGATTTGGCGTCCTGCATAAACAATACAATAAGTGACATAACAGGTTGAACTGTGTTTGACATGCATTGGACTGGGACTGAGACCGATGTCAATGGAACAAATATTTCCCTCCTTATCCCACCTTTAAGGGGTGGGACAAAAGATTGAAATCTTTGTTCCATTCAGTTCAATGCATGTAGTCGAACACATGTGGGCCCTGGTGGTTGAGATGATACCTTTCGGCAGTGTAGGTCAACTGATCATCGCTGACGTAGAGATTGAAATGGAAGATCAAAGTCGTAATGCTTCCACGGCTAAGATTCAGAGCAATCTTCAAAAGCCGTGTGAGTTGTTTATCGGATCTTCCATCAACATAAACATAAGGCTCGAGGGGAATCTTTATGAAGTTGGATCTCAACATTGACAAATCAAGAGTTTTCCATAACAGGGGATCACAAGCAGCTAAACGCCATGTGCTGCAGATATGAGCGATACCAGAAGTCAACTCAAAAACATCAAACCTTTGAAATATCTTCACCAGAATGTCAATATCTAACTCCTCCCACTTTGTTGTTTCATCATGTTCCATTCTTGAGTTCTCACAGAAATAATCCAGTCTTGCAACAATCAATGGACCTAATTGATGCAAAAAGTTGGGTTTTTTTAGTTATGTATCTTTTCACACGAAAGACCAATATTAGCTGATAAGGCTTTGTGAGATTGCAAATAAAAAAGGGTTGAATGCAAGAAATAGCAATGTACTTTTATTTGTTCCTATTACAACATTGTACATATAATTATTCATCACATAAATATATTGAGTAAAACAAGAAAAGTAAGCATTTTTAGGCTTGGGCGAACATATAATTCATCTAGTAAAGGAAATCAACATTTATATGTCAACAATGGTAATTGTTTTTGCCACAATCTTTACACAAAAACCAAAACTGAGGACATGTATTTTCCAACTAGGCTTTTCCTGAAACATATTAGGGAACTACCCTTTTATCAAACATTACGAGCATTTTTAGAACAAAATGGAAGTTATTGTGAGCTTCAGTCTCAATGTAAATTGGAATTCAGCAAAATCCTTGTCGTAATTATAGCCAATTTTGGGATTTGTAAAATACTAGTGCAAGATCGGCGTCAGAAAACACAGGGCAATCAAATTTAACTGCGGTCTTCCTAAATTTTCTAAATTGGACTTTGATCGACGAACAGATAGAGAAATTAATCATTATTACACTGAGAGCAGCTGAAAGCCCCAACATTTTTATACAGATTGCTACAGCTAACCACTTGATTCTTACTTAAACTTAATCGATCGAAGAG